TTGGAGAATCAATACTGGTATCCCGTGTTAGTGATGTTACTGAGATGCTCCCGCACGCCAAACGTAGTTGAGCAGACCCTTCAGTCCTGCGCATCTATTGTTATAAGATGATTTTTGAAACGGAAAAAACGATATGCACAACATAGTCAAGATGCGAACTTGAAAACCGACAAATATACGAAAAATATTTAAGTAAAGGATATCTAATATGATAGTCTGAACAGGTGTCATCTCACTAAAAATCTGATAAAAAAGCTAAAACAAATCTATGGAAATTTTAGGCATAGAAAAGAATAAATAAAATCAGAATAGTCAAAAAATTATATAGAAACTCCACAACTGGCATAAAAAAAAGAAAGATCACATGATCATGACACAAAGAAGACGAATGGTGAGCCCAGAAAAGCATTATTTACAGCAAAAGTTATTATTACAAAAAAAAGAGCAAAAAGGTCAAATTTTGGCAATAACATTCCTCAAATCTTGACATTTTTTGCATCCCCTTTCATATCAAAAATACCACGATATTATTTGATTTTATCGTATTTTTATAAAATAACAAGATGCCGAAATCAAAAAAAAAGCTATAAAATTTTCAAAATGCAAAACAATAGTGCAATAACAAGAAGTATACTTCCCCTCACCTAATAGTACTTAAAAGAAAATGTTGTTGCATGGAGTTCCCCTCGTCCTCCCTCTGTCGTCCTTCAAAAAGTACAACCCGTAAGTAATAGGCATAGTGGGTAAAAATTGACAAAATATAGCTCGAGAAAAAAAGTGGCCGGTCTTTCAGCAATACTGAAATCCTACACCAAACCTTTATCAAATTTTTTCAGAATTATCAATTTTTACCAAATTTTTTCAAAATTATCATATCAATCTTCAGGTCAGAGTTATCTTTCCAAAAGCAAGAAAATTTCGAAACATTTTTTTGCCTTCCAAAAAACCAGCATATTCACCTATTTTGGTAACTGATCATCATTTGTTTGATCCTTGTGTTTTTTTTTTCCACGTCATTGATGCAACTAGCAATTTCTCCAATTTTTTCCAAATTAAGGCCTCTCTCATCCACATAATCCCACACACCATTTAAATGGACCCTTTTACCCCACGGGCGCCATTCCTTATATTGCTCAAACACTGCGCGGGTACCGTTCAATAAACCTTTTGTTTCCACAAAATTACCAGGATATCTGTACACTTTGTCACTTCTCAGTATTTTGAAAATGTTTATAGCAGAGGCACGCACCGCAAACAGCTTTAAACTCCTTTCCATAAATTTTTTTTCACTAGAAAAAAAGGCTGAAACTCTTCTGGATGGATTCTTTACATACAAAAAAAGAGAAAAAACTTAATAAAACTATATTTTAAAAAAATGGGAAAACTTAAAAACCCGATAATCGTTACTCTGGACTTCTCTGAAAAATTTAAAATTAAAAGCATAAAATTAAAAATACATCACAAGCAAAAACAGCCAATTTTGTACAGTTTAATCAACAGCGTAATATTTGAGCCTGCTGATTTTAACAAATGATAAGGTTGCTGGTGGTGATAAGAGTGTTAACGGACGATGGGAAATCATTTGGTGCAAGCATTGTGCTCGTAATTTTATCGGAACGACGGATTTTGCTCGGCGGTGGCTCCTCGTCATCCGGATAGAAATAGTTCAGTGCTGACCAAATATGCTCTTGATCCAAACGTGACAGAAATGTGGCTCGTAACTGGAAAAAAAAACCCCGGTTTTTT